TATTAACATCAATGGCGAGTACATCACTCACCTTCGATTTGCCGACGATATAGTCCTGTATGGCAGAATCGCTGGAGGACCTTAGCACTATGCTCAATGACCTCAATGGTGTCTCCCAACGGATAGGTCTTAAGACGAACATGGACAAAACAAAGATTATGTTCAATGTCCATGTCACACCTATGCCGGTAGTTTTAGGGAGCACTATGCTCGAAGTTGTTCACGAGTACGTTTACCTGGGACAAATGGTCCGACTAGGTAAGTCCAACTTCGACCGAGAGGTCAATCGACGGATTCAACTCGGCTGGGCAGCGTTCGGGAAATTACGACACATCTTCTCGTCAGGTATACCTCAATCTCTGAAAACTAAAGTGTACAACCAGTGCGTGTTTCCACTGATGACTTACGGATCAGAGACGTGGTCCTTCACTGCTGGCCGTATGAGGACGCTCAAGGTCGCTCAGCGAGCTATGGAGAGGGCTATGCTCGGAGTTTCTCCGCGTGATAGACTCAGAAATGAGGACATCCGCAGTAAAACCAGAGTGACCGACATAGCCCAACGGATTAGTAAGCTGAAGTGGCAATGGGCCGGCCATATAGCTCGAAGAACCAATAACCGATGGGGAAGAAAGGTTCTCGAGTGGCAGCCTCGTACCGGTAGGCGTAGTGTAGGGCGACCCCCCACTAGATGGAGTGAGGACCTGGTAAGACATGCAGGAAGTCGATGGATGCAGGTAACTCAGGACCGTGCTTTGTGGCATTACTTGTGTGAGGCCTATGTTCAGCAGTGGACTTGTGAAGGGCTGTAATGATGATGATGATGATAAAACTCACGAAGAGAATATAATAGTATTGTTACGAGCTTAGGGTTTGTGATAATAAAAACTGCCGATTGAATTACCAAAATTAACACTTTAATTCTTCACTTTACTTAAAAGACACCAATAATTAATCACACTGATTCACTTTGTTTCGCTCCGAAGCTTCGCTTGTCTCGTCAAATTCAATACTACCCCGATCGCGTCTTGCAGCGCCTTTAAACACACCTTTTTCACCGAAACATCCAGATTATTCAAGTAAATACAGGCGCCAACCGACAAGGCGCAGAAAGTTCGAGTGTGGGGCTTCTAGAAAGCTTAATTCTTCTGTTCGATACTAGATGGCGCTGTTGGTCGAAAGTCAAGATTGACATTTTCTAGGAAGCCCTCATCGCTCTAGTCCCCGACACTAGATGGCGCTCGTTCCAGGTACCTGACCTCAACTTAGGCGCGCAACACTGCCCCCTCCTAAGACATGCTCGTCCCGAGCATTATCGGCCCCATAATAACGTGCCAGGCGATCCACATGGACGATCTTAGGAGTCCCTCTTGCGCCTTTCTGAAACGGCTCCGCAATGTCAAGGGCTGTTCTATCCCATGGTACATTGTACAATTTCGATGCTCCTCTACTACGTGTCTGAGGTCCCTTTACATCCGCACAACTAGTACATGTACGACACCAATCCTCGACATCGTCACGATAATGGACCCAGTAAAACTGTTCTCGGACCTTCAGTAGAGTTCGTTTAACTCCCAGATAGACTCCTGAACGACCATTATGGCACAGCTGTAGAACATTCGGCACTTTAGCTTTAGGTACAACCATTTGCAAACGATAGCTGTCTCCTCGACCATTCTCCTATTTACGGCACGGGACTCCATCCTGAATCAGCAAGCTGTCCCATTGGGCACAATAACTTTTCGTGGTCTAACTCATCGCTGAGACGTCGCTCCACTTGGGCTTGGGAGTACTGGCCTTCATCCATTGCAGAATCGGCTTGATATCCGGATCTTCCTGCTGTGCATGTTGTAATCTGACCTTCCACTCGTTGCTGAGGTGGTCTGTCCTGAGCATCCTCACGGATACCACTTTCTTACCCTCTTGCCTCGTACTGTTCTCGCAATCATCAGGATAAGGCCTTCCTGACAATGCATCTGTGTTGCCTCACCATTTCCCGGTGCAGTTTCCAATAGTAAAGTCGTATTACTGTTGCTGCTGGGTGGTGCTGCAAGCCGCACTATCCTCTCGAGATCGATCACATTCCCTTTTTACAGATTGCTTAGGGCAGCTGGATCGAAGATGACCCCTTTCCCCACAGCCGTAGCACCTTGGGCTGTAATTTTCATTGTGGTCGCGAACCGTAAATGCTGCAAACTCCCTAACGTGAGATCATCCGTAGTAAATACCGGAAGGGAACGATGATCCTGCAGTCGCCAGGCGGTGCCGTTAGCTGCACTACCCTCTCGAGATTGATCAACTGTCCTTTCTACAGTTCGCTTAGCGCAGCTGGATCGAAGATGGTCCCTTTCCCCACAGCCATAGCACCTAGGGCTGTATCCTTTATTGCGGTCGCGAACTGTAGCTGCTGTAACCACCCTGTCGCGATGGGAACGATGATCCTGCCGCACGGCTTCCACCTCCAGTGCATGGGCCAAGGCGTCCTTAAGCGTCTCGTGGTGCCCAAGCCTCACAGCAGCTCTGACTTCAAGGTCGCGGATACCGTCGATGAATGTCTGCACCAGGTTCCCTTCAATGAGCGCAGGTACAGACCTGTATGCTTTTCGCACCAGCTTCTCCACCTCTAGAGCCCACTGCTGCAGGTTTTCGTTGATGCGCTGCACGCGATCTTTAAGCTGCGCACGAAAGACGTGTTTCAGATGAGCGTCGCCATATCTCGCCTCCAATGCCTCAAGGAGTTGCTCATAAGTCACTTCCTCACCGAGAGCTTCCAGATCTGTTAAGGCCTGGTCGCGCAGGCCTAGTGTGAGAGCAGTCATGGCCTGACTTTTATTCCAGCCGTTCGCCTTCATAACAGCCTCGTACTGGATTTTGTAGGCTGACCAGGAAGAAGTCCTGTCGAACGATGGCACTTTGAACCCACATAGCGAAGGCGTAGTAGCTACTACGGGAGCTGTAGTTCCATCCCCAAGTTTGAGTTCGTCAAAAGTTCGGCATGATTTAATCCCACTTCTGACACCAATTGTTACGAGCTTAGGGTTCGTGACAATAAAAACTGCCGATTGAATTACCAAAATTAACACTTTAATTCACTTTACTTAAGACACCAATAATTAATCACACTGATTCACTTTGTTTCGCTCCGAAGCTTCGCTTGTCTCGTTAAATTCAATACTGCCGCGATCGCATCTTGCAGCGCCTTTAAATACACCTTTTTCACCGAAACATCCAGAATATTCAAGTAAATACGGGCGCCAACCGACAAGGCGCAGAAAGTTCGAGTGTGGGGCTTCTAGAAAGCTTAATTCTTCTGTTCGATACTAGATGGCGCTGTTGGTCGAAAGTCAAGATTGATATTTTCTAGGAAGCCCTCCTCGCTCTGGTTCCCGACACTAGATGGCGCTTCCAGGTACCTGACGTCAACTTAGGCGCGCATCAATATGTTCTGTGACAGATTCTAATATGTACAAATGTGTATTATTTTCTAGAGCTAGTTAGCGGTCACTTTCAGCTTTCAGTATATATATATATATATATATATATATATATATATATATATATATATATATATATATATATATAGTTTTTTACTCATGTGACGAACGTCGAAATGAGGATGTGCACAAAACGGTAATTTTTTTCTAAATATCGTATCAGTTGCCTCGTCCATGGTAAAATACGTATGAACGCTTGAGTGCTACACAGTTTTATTGTCGGTAAGAAACCGAAACAGGAGGTAGGCAGCGGCATCATCCAGATAACTCTAAATAATAAAAAAACTGCGTTTGCCTACCCGCCTGCATGGCAAGTATAGCGAAAGTCCTCCCCATATGGCAATCTTCGGATGAGGCCTATGTTGTATGTGTTAATTACATAAAATACATTGTGTTAATTACAGTCAAGCCAATAAATTATAGCTATTATAATTTAACACTCAAAACCAAGTTATGAAATTTCAGTATAGAAAACTCAAACAACATACCAAACAACTCAAACAAACATATTCTCGAACAGTAATATACAGTAATATTCCTTGTTTTGAATACCTAATAAGGTATTCAAAACAAGGAATATTTTTAATAACGATTATTTACGTTACAAAATATTATTGGAATACAGAAAGCATTTAAAAGTAAAAATAAAACAATACAAATAAATTAATTATGCAAAGCAACAGCAACACCCACTTGATTACTTCTTACTAGCCTAACGTAGATTGATGCTACCGTTTTATTATCGATTACCGTATTTTTATAGGACAATGGTGTGGCCGTGGAAGGAAAAGAGGAAATCTCCCGCCGGGCAAGGTGTTCTACCCCCCCAGCGGCCAACACTCCATGTGATAGTTCGGAGATGTTCTGTATATACTGTTCATGATTCGGAATGTTGATAGCGTGATTTAGGCTTTGGTGTGTTTCGGTGTGCTAGTGCCGCGACGACATCGCCGCTACATCACCCCCCTGCTCAGACCGGAGGTCGATAGTGCAGCCTCGTTGCCGACGAATGTGCAAGTGCCAGGAGATTGCCTTGTAGTCTGCGGTGAGTCGAGAAGAAGGCAAGTAATCTGCGAGAGTGCCGTGAAGCAGAGGCGAGCAGTAAGGCTCAGAGCCGTGCCGAACACTGTATGGCGCAGAGAGTAGCTTGAAGGAACAGGAAACATTATTATTTCAGTGCTGCGATGAACCCTGTGAAGTTAGATGGCTTGCAGGATATGAAGACTGCAGAGGATATCTGCTCGGGAGCGAATGGGTGGGGCATTTTATGATGATGATGAAGCTTGAAGTTTCCGAAGGTTGTTGGTTGCGTGTTCAGATCACGTCGGGGTCACCATTGTGGCCGTGGAAGGAAAAGGGGAGATCTCCCGCCGGGCAAGGTGTTCTACCCGGGGAGCGGCCTCGTGTGATAGGCAACACTCCGTGTGATAGTTCGGAGATGTTCTGTATATACTGTACATGATTCGGAATGTTGATAGCGTGATTTAGGCTTCTTTGTGTTTCGATGTGCTAGTGGCGCGACGACGGCGCCGCTACAATGGCTTCCAGCAGAGATACATCTAGATACATTTGGTAAGTAGCCAATACAACAACTTTTGAATAATAAATATTTATATTTACGGAGTGGAATAACCTATATTCGACTCAAAGTACACATTCTTTGGTTTTTCAAAATAAGAATAACCATATTCAAAAATTTTTAGAAGCTTACCTGAGCCGGAAATCGAACCAGCTAAAAATGTAAAAGTAAACAATCCATTGTTTTATTGAATCAATCGATTTAAAAGGATAAAATAAATATGATACGACAAGGATAAAATCTCTCGAATAAACGTAGTATCTTATAATTAAAGAAGACCATGAAATCTAACAATTCGTACAAATCGATTTGAACTACCCTACACTAGACTGTTTATTTTTAAAAGTAAAGGAGCTTTTATCATTTTCTTAAAACTCAGAGTACTTACCTGGATCTAGATATTTTTCAGGCTATTTAATTGATCCATTTGTATCTATTCAGATCCAGAAGTTGAAACTGTTATTGAGAGAACTATTGGATATTCGACTCATACTATCAAGGGCAGGAGCACCCCGTCTTGTTGAAATATTATATTATTTCTAATTAATCAAATGATTGCTAATAAGTCGTTAAATAAAAAAACGTAATTTCTCTTAAAATAAAATGAAACATTCATACAAAACGTTCAACATTTTTTGTCTCTTTCACCCGTTTTTTTTTTTTAGATGAAATATTAAACTTCATACACTTTTGCTTCTATTTAGGTGCTCTTATTGTAGAGTTTAAAAAATTATAGAAGGTATTTTACTTTTATAAAAATGACAGTCTGTGTTAGGATGTTAATTAGAGTTGATATGTATGAATTGTTAGAGACCATGAAAGTTCTTCTATATAGATTTATGTTACTGTAGTACATAGAAGGACGCTTTATGGTATTATTTATAAACAACAACTGTGCGCTTGATTGTGGGCTTTTAATGTGGGGTGTATATATATATATATATATATATATATATATAACAAAATTTTGTAAGATCTATACTTTTCATGTTCGTAAGACGGACTCAGAATACCATCATTTTGTTTAACGACTTGTACGCCCGTGAAGGACTAGTATTAATAAACCCATGAAGAGCTTTAAATAATACTAAATTTTCTCATCGGTATCAATTGTGTAAGTATAAAACAAACTTACCTATGAGACAGTCAAGCACAACCTTAAGTGCTGGTCGATGGCGTAGGACGCGCTCTAACCGCATACGTGGCCAGCATATGCATGTGCATACCTCTTCTGCTACCACTGTCACCTGCACAATAACTTATAGTATTAATTTCTATACCTAACTACAAGATTTGTGGCAAAACGCAAAGTTTAACATTTAATTTTCGTAGTACACACTGTGTGGGTGCATACAAATGGGTCCTTTTGCACGACGCAATATAAATACGTAATATATTACATGGTTATCACGTATCATATCGTGTAATAATAATAATTAAAACACTTATTTTCTCTCACTTCCACCACCGCACAGCCAGACGCTCAGTCAGCCTTGGTTTGCGTTGCGCTTCTGTTAAGTATATCATCACTTACCATTAAATTGGATGGTAGTCAAGTATTGGCACATAATTGTTTAGAAATTATCGTTTTTTATTCAAAATTATTCCAATATATAAAGTTATTCGACAGATAAAGTACGTAAGACTTATAGGAGAATATGTGTGCACTGCTCTAACTAATGGACGAGACGCTGATGACTGACGTGGCATTTAATACATCCAAAAACGCCTAATATAAATTTTAGGTATACGATTTGTGAAGGGAAGTGGCGTTAGTAGTGCGAAGGGTTTGTGTTTTCGCAGCCTAGCGTCTTGAGGATGAGCAACTGTTTCGTGAAATGCATTCCTACTGGTATATTCTTAAAAATTCCTACGTCCCATAGTGAATTTGATATGGTAGTGGATGAGGATCTAAAATTAAATAGAAGGAGTATAATATTTAAAGTGTCTAATAATAGATTTGTATACAAAGTTTAGTAGCTGTTACAAATTAGTTTTCAGGTCTAATATCGCTAACTGCGTTCGTGCTCCAATTTGAGGGTGTAACTGGATACCTAAAAAGGGTATAACAAATATGTAACTATAATAGTATGTAAGTACAAGTAGTACCTTCTTTTATTTACAAATATATACCTTCGCATAATTACGTGTATTCATTATATGAATGCACACATAAAATAAATGTATTCAACCAAAATGTGTCAAGTAAAATTAAGCTAAGTATCATCATACATAAATATTTCAAACCATTCGAAATCTAACTGAACTCAATCACTATCATGTCAACATCTTGGTTGAAAACTGTGTAATTATGGCTACATTACAAAAAATTATAAATCTAAAGGGTAGTGGCCTTAATAAAAATTAAAACTTTTTAATTTTTTTACTGTTTTGCATTCATTATTAAAGTACGTTAATCATTAGTTCAAATACCCTGTATAATATATGAATATCACACAATAGATTTGTTAATAATGAATTGTAGGTAAAGTTTTATACTGGTTAGGTACACTGCCGCGCATAGACTTCATATTATTTGTGAAAGGGTTTTAGGACAAGGAAGTGAATGAAACTTATTTATTAATATCAAATAACAATGTCCATAATTACAAAAGTTTCCCTTTTCATTGAAAATTTTCCTATCCTTTTGAATGTATGGTGAAACTACTAAATACTACCTACTAATATACTATTATACTTTTAGTAATATATCTGTATTATAGTCAACCAAATCTATGAAATACCTTTTGACGTTTCACATTAACCATTCCGCAATAACTTTGCACAAGCGTACTCACACGATTTAAAATAACCTTTTACGTAAATCCGAAGAATTATGAAGTTATCTATATTTCATTACAACGTGTATACTTTGTTATCAACAATTAAAATTCAAATCTTTCAAACAAATCAAAATAAAAAAATAACCAGTATTAACTTTTTTTTTTCAATGATATGTCGCTATGTACCTTATCGAAGTGTTTAGTTGATTAAAATTCATTGTTATGCGAATAATCGGCAAAAATGTTCAAATAATCGAATCATTAATTTTTTTACGTATTATTTATTTAATTAAATTTTTATTTTTAAAATTACTTAAATTACATGAATCATGAATGTAACAAGTTTTTTTTACTTTGTCAACGTAAATTTGTGTATGAAAAAAGCTCATATACAAGGCCGCGCTGAAAAAACCACTACGTTATTTCAATCTCCCACCATTTGTAAAGCTTGTGCGTAATTTTGTGATTTTGTGTTTGTCTTCTCATTTCGTGCAGCGGCTTTAACTTTTTTGACTTTTTCTTCCATATTTGTTGAAGCATGTGCCCATGTCACAAAGTATGATTGGGCAAAAGTGGTAGAAAAAACAAAAAAATTGATTATGGATGACTTTGAAAGAGACATTTATTTTGACTGCATTATTGAAAATCAAATAATAATTAATCTAAATAACAACAGTTCAACTAGTTGTACTGAAAGCGATTGAATAAATTTATTTTTATTCTAGTTTCAATCTTAAATTTTTATGACTTTGCCTCTAGAAATAAGCAGTTACAACAAATACGAAGAAGTTGATAAATATTTTGTTTAAAATTATCCGTTTCTAATTTATTTTGGTATTGTTACGAGCTTGAGGTTCGTGACAATAAAAATTGCCGATAAAATTACCTAAATTAACACTTTAATTTACTTTACACAAATTAAAACTTAAAACACTAATAATTAAACACACTAATTCACTTTATTCCGCTCCGAAGCTTCGCTTGTGTCGCCAATTCCAATACTACCTCGATCGCATCTTGCAGCGCCTATTTATATAAATTAGCAAAGAAGCATCCGGAATATTCAAGTAAATGCGCGCAAAGGGACGAGTGTGCGAGTGTAGATTTTCTAGAAACTTAGTTCTTCGGATGGCGCTGTCGGTTGAGTGATTTGTGATGTCATTTTCTCAATGCTCCCCTTACTCTCGTTCCTGACACTAGATGGCGCTAGTGTATCGTCGACTTGAGCGCGTAACACTGCCCCCTCCTAAGACATGCTCGTCCCGAGCATTATCGGCCCCATAATAACGCGCCAAGCGATCCACATGGACGATCTTAGGAGTCCCTCTTGCGCCTTTCTGTAACGGCTCCGCAATGTCAAGGGCTGTCCTATCCCGTGGTGCACCAACATTGTACAATTTCGGTGCTCCTCTACTACGTGTCTGAGGTCCCCGCACGGCCGCACAACTTGTACATGTACGACACCAATCCTCGACATCGTCACGATAATGGACCCAGTAAAACTGTTCTCGGACCTTCAGTAGAGTTCGTTTAACTCCCAGATGGACTCTTGAACGACCATTATGGCACAGCTGTAGAACATTCGGCACTTTAGCTTTAGGGACAACCATTTGCAAACGACAGCTGTCTCTTCGACCATTGTCCCATTTACGGCACAGGACTCCATCCTGAATCAGCAAGCTGTCCCATTGGGCCCAATAGCTTTTCGTGGTTGAACTCATCGCTGAGACGTCTCTCCACTTAGGCTTGGTAGCACGGGTCTTCATCCCTTCCAGAATCGGCTTGATGTCCGGATCCTCCCGCTGTGCATGTCGTAGGCTGTCCTTCCACCAGTTGCTGAGGTGGTCTGTCCTGAGCATCCTCACGGATACCACTTCCTTACTCTCTTGCCTACTACAATGGTTGCAATCTTCAGGACAAGGTCTTCTTGACAATGCATCTGCGTTGCCGGGAGATTTCCCGCTGCGGTGTCTGATAGTAAAGTCGTATTCCTGCTGCTGCTGGGCGGTGCTGTTAGCCGCACTTCCTTTCTGAGACCGTTCACCTTCCCTTCCTAGGGGGTGCTTAGGGCAGCTGGACCGAAGATGGCCCCTTTCCCCACAGCCATAGCACCTAGGGCTGTATCCTTTATTGTGGTCACGAACCGTAACTGCTGTAACCTCCCTAGCGTGAGGTGAACGACGATCCTGTCGCCGCCAGGCAGTGTCGTTAGCTGCACTACCCTCCTGATATCGTTCACCTTCCCTTTCTGCGGTTCGCTTAGGGCACCTGGATCGAAGATGGCCCTTTTCCCCACAGCCATAGCACCTAGGGCTGTATCCTTTGTTGCGGTCGCGAGCTGTAGCTGCTGCAACCTCCCTGACGCGATGGGAACGATGGTCCTGCCGCACGGCTTCCACGTTCAGTGCATGGGCCAAGGCGTCCTTAAGCGTCTCGTGGTGCCCAAGCCTCACAGCAGCTCTGACTTCCAGGTCGCGGATGCCGTCGATGAATGTCTGCACCAGGTTCCCTTCAATGAGCGCAGGTACAGACCGGTATGCTTTTCGCACCAGCTTCTCCACCTCTAGAGCCCACTGCTGCAGGTTTTCATTGATGCGCTGCACGCGATCTTTAAGCTGCGCACGGTAAAAGCGTGTTCCAGGTGAGCGTCGCCATATCTCGCCTCCAATGCCTCAAGGAGTTGCTCATAAGTCACTTTCTCACCGAGAGCTTCCAGAACTGTTAAGGCCTGGTCGCGCAGGCCTAGTGTGAGAGCAGTCATGGCCTGACTTTTATTCCAGCCGTTCGCTTTCATAACTGCCTCGAACTGGATTTTGTAGGCTGACCAGGAAGAGGTCCCGTCGAACGGCGGCACTTTGAATCCACGTAGCGAAGGTGTTGTAGCTAATACGGGAGCTGTTGTTCCATCCCCAAGTTTGAGGTCGTCCAGCGTTTTCTCACGTCAGCCATTACGTTGTCAACCCGATTGTTTACTTGGTCGATTCGGGTTTCAGCTTCCGACAGGCGGTTGTCATGTTGAGCAACCTTATCCTTCACCTCCCGTATCTCTTTTCCGAAGGTAGCGTGAAGGTCCTTCATGAGGAGCATCTGCTCTTCCTTATCGCGTTGGAGTTGCTCTTCTAAACGACGGGCCTGTTCCTCCTGCCGGCGGGCCTGTTCCTCCTGTCCGCCCCGCAGCTGCTCTTCCAAACGACGGACCTCCTCCTTCGCGGGCCTGTTCCTCCTGTCGGCGAGCCTGTTCCTCCTGCTGCTCTTTCAACAGACGGGCCTGTTCCTCTCGTCCACGCTGCAGCTGCTCCTGTAGCATCGCCATCAGAGCACCTAAGTCAGGTGCTGCAGATCTAGGAGCTAATGACGGGCCCGCAGCCTCCGTGGCTGGCAGTTGGCCCTCCGACGTGTGCGCCGTTGCACCACCAAATCTCCGCTGGTCCGTCTCATGCTGGCGTTGACTGCGGGTACGGACACCCTCCGTTCTAAGGTAAAATCGGCATGATTTTATCCCACTTCTGACACCAATTGTTACGGTTAGTCTTCCTCGAAACGCTGGGCAAGCTCACCGTTGTGTACTTGTGGAAAGGGTAAACAATGACCTTCCATGGAAAGTAGCTCGAACCTTGGTCAGGACTACTGACATCTCAGGAGTACGTGTGATGAACCTTTGCGACCGGGAACAGATTATAGAAAAAAGCTCGTAACAGTATTATTCAAACCAAACTGTAAATGATTACCAACTCTAAATAATCTATATAGATTTTCTTAAGAATCGAATATTGTACGGTCCCATTTTTAGGTTGGCATGCATGGCGCAATAAGTCTGACAGCTGTCAAAATGTTTCTTAGATTTGGTTGAATTTATATAGTCATATATTTATATAACTAGCTGGCCAGGCAGACTTTGTTCTGCCGACCCTTCGTCCTTAAAAAAATTCTTTAAATTGGCAAAAAAAAAACTATTGAGGTTCACTTATCGGTGTAAAACTATCCTATCTCTTAAGTTGGAGCAAGTAATACATATTTACAAAATTTCGTTAAAAATCAGTTGAGTGGTTTCGGAGTTCATTGCGGAGAAACAACATGAAACGAAATTTTTGTATAATAAAGATTATGGTAGCCTAGCTCGGGCTGCATAAAATAGTTTACGGTGAAAATTATTGTTTTAAATTACTTCAGTGTTATTCTAATTACTACGGTAGATAAATCCTCAACAGTAGGCCTAATCTATTATTCATGCCTCACTCGGAATTATTTAACCTGGCTTGGTGCGGAATAACAATGAGCTATGCAATGTCACAACATTCTGTAACTAACAAATGACTTTCACGCCTATTGTATTCTTGCGAGTGGTAAATGTTCTAAGTTGCTCGACAGACTATTAACTGCAGTTGATTAAAGAACAATCAAAAACAAACGCTGTTCTTGAGCAGGGTCGTATTTAAAGGTGTTGAAAAGAGGTAGTATGATTACAAACGTATGGCAATTCATATTCGTCCTCAGGGACGACAACGTAGATTACGTTGTCTTTATTTGAAGGTAATAGGGGCCTTGGGCAGCTGTATCCATCCGTACGTCCATATTGGCTGTACCATTAGGTGAATTGTAAATTTGTTTGTCATTTAAAAATTATATTTTTAAGTGTATTACAAATTTATTTCAAGACAAGGCCTGAACGTAGCAGGGAGGGGAAGAGAACCAGTATAAATTACAAGCTGTGAGGCATTCCATTTAATCCCCCCCCTCTCAACAAGCTCTCCCCCCAACAAAAGCTCCCGGTGTATCGGAACTGCCTCCTGGCAGCCCAGGACGAGTCCTCTCCCAATTCGCCTTAGTTAGGCGCTCCCTCAGCGGGTACTCGCCGCCTGCGCCCCCCCTTTTCCCTAAGGGAGTCGCTTGCGATACGGCTAAAAGATCTTACCAGGTTAAAGCCAGTCTCACAGGTGGTGTTTAGTAGGTAAGGCACTGAGTTTTCTCGGTGAGTCCCACATAACCACGCAGCCGGCTGCGTGGTATGCTTAGAGCATTCACCACCTCCCTCCCCTGCTTCCCGGAGGGTAGCAATTTCCTTGCTTTTGGGTACAAAAAATGCATTCCATTTTAGTGTAGAATTTAGCTGCGGGTATCCAAGGGCAACAGTGGCATCTTATCACCTGTAAGTTCGTTTGCCACTTCAATCTTATAAAATAAGTTAAAATCGTATTTAGACGAAATATAAAATGCCATGACCGGTAACATACACTTACTCGTGCTAGGGTAAAACACTTTCAATGCAAAGAAAAGATAACTTTGATAGCCGATTTTGATTAATTGCTTTTAAATTTTGCATTCTATTCGTTAACCATTTAAAATACTTGTGGACTTAATAGAGGTGTTGGAATTTAAGCTCCTATTACTCATTGAATAAAACTTTTATTACGGATTTTATCGCGTTTAATAACTTTAATTTATTTTTACTATCCCGACGTTTCGAGCGCTTTACAGCACCCATGGTCACGGGGGGGGGGAACTGAGATGTTTGACGTCCCAAAGTCATAGTTAGTCCGGACTACCTTCAGTTTTTGAATATTACTCCCTTAAAATCCAACTCTGTACTAGAATAGTGTCTGTTGTATGTTCTGACTTTGACCTATTGCATGCACGCTAAATACGTCAGCAATAATGGATGAAGATTCTTATATTGACTTTCATTTACATGAACACACTACGTTTTAGCTATTTTCTTAATTTTAAAATTGTGCTAAAAAATAATGGTAGGTACACACAAATAAGAGATCACAAGTCGTTCCCAAGTCCAATACTTATGTTTTAATAACCCAGTACTTATATTTTAGGTTAAAGGGCTGTGTAATTGCATCTTTCAATATTGGGAGCACAGCGTTTAAATTGTAGTAATATCGTTATCGTTTGTAATATAATAAAATATTACAAAAAGATAAAAGCTGTACTCTTCGTACTTACTATTAAAGCTGCGACATGGCTCGACAGTCAATGAGTCTATGAACTATAATATATATAAATAATATATAGTTATGGGAAAAACAGATTTCTGATCAAAAACTTACTTATTACTTAATATTATCATTAACCTAAAAAATCCTGTTTTTGATCAAAAACCTGAGCTGATTCAGTATGATAAAGCTAGGTTATGATAAAAAATTAAGCTTAGGTTTAGTTAGATTCCCACCCCGAACGGGTTCCCGCCTTGTCGTGGCGGGGGGCTTAGTAGCCGTGGCTTGGTCACCCACAGTGAACAAAGAGGAACCCACATGGCTGGCCCGAGATGAAGGGCCAGCCCGAGGCGGCCACTCCAAGTGGGCATGGCGAGCCCACTTCGGATGTGTGCTGGTGGGCTGCGGCGAGAGAGGTGTCCTCTCACCGTACTTGCAGCAGAGGTGGAGTCGCGGAGGAAGAAGAGTGTTGGTACGGCAATGCGCTACTCGCCCTATCCTCCGCAGCCGAATCTTGGTTGGCGGCGGAGCCATAGACCAGATCCGCTGTTGGGATCAGGAAGGCTGGTGATTCTAAGTGCTTATTTTTCCTGGCCCCATGGCCTTCGCGTATCGGACACGGGGGCGTCCATTGCGCAGGTGTAATTGGAGGCCGTGGAGGAAGGCGCGCCATGTGTTCTGGTCCGCCTTACTTGAGGAGGAGAAAGGGGAGGAGTAATCCTCTCCGCCATGGGGAGGCCGGCGCTGGTGGGACCGCGGATGTGTGCGAAAGTGTTCCCGTAGCCCTGCCAATATGCGACGAAGGTGGTTTTAGTCGGTGCGAGTTCGACGTAACCCGTCCTTGCCCCCGCGAGGCGAGTATGCGTAGGCATTTCCCCATGTAAAAAAATAAAATAAAAAAAGGTTAGGTTAGATTAGATTAGGTTAGGTTAGGTAACCTGATAAGGAGAGGAGAAAAGTAGCCCCTGGTGTGGCTGCAGATGTGAGCGAAAACGTTCCCGTGGCCCTGCCAATATGCGGCGAAGGTGGAATACCAAGCCGTTAAAACAACTAAAGGCTAGGTTAGGTTGATTTTATCATAAAACTAAATCAGTGTAGTTTTTCGATCAAAAAACTGGATTTTTTCAGGTTTATGTTAACATAAAGTAGTCATTTTGTCTTCTTTCGGATGATCAAAAACCTAGGCTTTTTCATAAGTATATATGTATATTTTAAATAGTTTTTAATTAATAAGTATTTACTTTAAGGTATCAAAATATCTTAAAATTTACGTTGGTTATTATTTACATAAAGTGATATCAAAGTCTTTATATTATGCAGTAGCGCAATATATGAAAATTATTCTTGTGAAATTATGACATCAAAATTAATCCAAAAATTAACAAAGGCTGTACCTGGAAGACATCATCAGATTGTTCACGATTGGCCTCCCACTCTGGCGAATCCACAAACTGGTATGGTTGAATATAATGGAGGTGGGTCTCGTCACAGCTCACTCGCATTCTAAATTAAAAAAGCATGACAAAATCTTAATACAATTACGTGATTAGTTGACGTCTAAAGGGCGATATGTCTTCGTCTGATATTGGTACGTGATGTAGGATGATGTCGGATCATGCGGAACGATAAAGAAGTACATACCCATCAATAAGTTGTATAGAGTAGAAGGTACCTTTTACAATTTATTCGATTCTCACTAAGTATTTGTAATATCTGGTACAAATTAATACGGCTGACTTGGAATTACAAAACGAAATTAATCAGATATAAAATCTCTCACTTGTCTGTTAAAACAATTATTCATTTGTTTTTTGTCGTTTGTTATTGATACTGATGCATCTGCGGAATGGAAAAATTTAAATTAACTACGCGTTATTTCCGAATATTATAAATTCCGTACTGTACCAATGCTAGACATATGTATAATATCTGTCTTTAAACTGTGTGTGATATATATGGAATACGTACTGGAAATCTTAGCGGGGTGCGTTTTTCCTTTGATCGCTTCAGTTCAACTTAACAAGCAATGAAACAGATTCACCTCAAGCCATGTCTGAGTTAGCAACTGCCTTCAACACTTAATTTTGTAAGTAATTAAAAAGTGCATTCATGTATGCAATAAAGAGATATAATCACTATTTTGTGTTATACATCATATTACAAAAATAAAGAAGTTCAGACAGGGTACCGTATGAAATTATTACTGAAATATAGAAAATTGCGCCGAAATTTGCTTTAATTCCTTAATGCAAATTTCGTGAATTAAGGAAATCGTAATCGGACTGTCATGGAAAGTGACTTGTGATAAAGAGGTGGGATGTAGGAGTGAAAGTCAAACTGTGTCCAAAATTCAAGTTGTCACAGATGCTCATGACTGTATGATAAAACTGAGCCGGCGTTTTTATTACAGGATCATGAAATCGCCAATAACATTTTTTAACATACATATAGATTTTCAAGAATTTTTAACAACAATAGAATAGACAACCAAATAACTGAAACTTGTCAATTGCCTTAGTTCATTCAATCTCCATTTGGAGGATCGTCCTGTCGTCCTTTCGTCCAAACACTACAACGAGCTGTGTCTGATAAGAAAGGATCTACCACAACTCTCCATTATCCATCGTAGTCGTACCGATTTCATTTTTTTCGGAATTTGATTATCTTCTTTGAAGAGAAATATATCGATTTTTATAAGACGGAGAAATATACCTATAATCTATATCCGTCTCTAGGCTTCATAACAATAACAATAACGTCAATAGGCATATTAATTTGGCTTAAGTGCATCAGAAATAATGGCCGATACTTCGATTTATTAAATATATACATATTTTAAAATGTAAATAAATAATTTTACCACCACCCTCGACCTAAACAGTCAAAATAATGTGGGTAGCAATGAATGAGCAATGATTGTTCGCTTAACTCGTTTATATTGTGAAGGGCAGTGAAGTGGCCTCTTTATATATATATATATATATATATATATATATATATATATATATATATATATATATATATATATAGTTAATTAATTACAAAATATTTTAATACTTTCTACCATACTATTAAAACTACAACACTACACACAGATAATCTTTTTAACGCTATATTTAAAAAAAGTTGTTTCCAAGAATTTTATTATAATAGGAAAAATTATAACTATTGAAATGTATATTGTAGATAATAATTCATTATAATGTATTATGGTATAGTGAGCCCGTCCCTATGGATGTGGGGGCGACCCACTCTTTTATCATTACAGCCGTCTGCAATGTACGTATCTATACTATGTATGCTGTCGACATACAGACAACTCTAAGCAATTCGCTATAAGGAGATGCCTACTTATTTACAAAATATATAATATTTGTATAAAGCTCTACATCTTTATTCCTTCATCATCATAACCTTTATCAGCCTTTTACTGTATCTACACTTCCGCCTGTTCAATACTTTTCTCCAATGTTCCAGTTAGCATGCTCGTCAGATAGGCCACATAATCATACTTTATATGAATGTTAATATTTTTTTTCATGATAACTTTTAACGTACTTATAACGTATAATACCTTCCTATATGTAAAATAAATTAAATTATGATCACACTTCATTTCTAACAAAATATAAACCGATAAACAGATTTCAATCAAAATGCATAGAATGGAGTTACATAAAAGTCACTGTGCAATTTGTAAATAAAACGTTATTCAAAACTGGAAGAATTTCATGCCGTGTACGACAGCTGTGAGTTTTATCCACGTGTGCGACGTTATGCACTCGTTTCTGCTTCGAACTTACGTAAGTATTTGAGCTTGTGCTGCCATAAGCTGCATACATAAGACTCTTTTGTATACGATATTAAAAATAATTTAGTATTTCGTTTAAATTATGTGCGCACACTTAGCACTACTTTGGCTTACATCATTTTTTAGCGTTTAATTAATATCGTTTCGTACACTATTTTACCGCTGATCGCAGTTCAACTTACAGCGTGAAAAATTGTTCATTATCATATTTAAAAGTATTAAGTACATACATTCCAATGAATATTAATGTATTTCTGTTCGTTGAATTTTAATTTCGTGTTATCATCATTAATATAGATATTTACTTGAAATGTAAAAAAAAATGTTTTCTTTAGTTAAAATTGCCAAACCTATTGCTGTTCCCAAATAGTATTTTAAGGGAATTAAAAATGCTAGACGAGGAATCGTCTACATTAGCAGCATTGACCAAGCCCAAATTAAATTACAGCCGGACCCTTCTATACCGTTGAGACCATTTTGACACTGAACGCAGCACTACTTATAAATTATCTTTTAATTTTCTGATATCCTGGTTCAATCGCCTGTATACATTTTGTTAGTTTTTTATTATTAAAATAGAAATTATATATCTATAGACATGCCTTTTTATCTACACTAGCCTACTGATAAACCCCACACAAAATATTTTGTCCAGTAAAAAATTAATTCAATGATTGTCTGTATCATAGAATTTTCTAAAGTGAACGTATATAAAAAAAAGACATTTTTATTTTTAAGGTTCCGTAACTAAAAAAGAAAATAGCGGAACCCTTATACAGGATCACTATGTTTTCCATCCGTCTGTCGAGACACTTTTCTCATAAACGCGTGGAGGTATATATTAAATTGAAATTAATATTAAATGTGAAGGTTTATGAGAAAGCTATAGATAAGCTTCTATGTTAACGCAATCAAACTATACGGTTATGTAGTATGTCACATATTTAGATACTCGCAAACTCACCAATCAACATCTATAAGGTAATTCCCATCGACTTATAATCAAAAAAAGCGAGGAGATCTAGCTAACAAGTAAAGGAAAAATAAGAACATTATTGGTAATTTGTAATCAAATATAAAAAAAATTACTCTGCAATGTATTCAACGCTCTATGGCAACGTACTTGGAGCACCAACCTTTTCCCTGGCTACCAAGTTACTAGTTTACTGACTTTTCATACGACCACCACCACCACCAGATCAAAACGATTATCTTCGACAATGTGTGCGAATATTTTCTACAACCGTTTTGGTAGGATTTGCATCCAACATCAAAAGCATGTATCCTGTATTATTAGCAATCACGTACATACAAACAAGTCCATTATAAAAGTTTGTTGCTTTGATGCTACACACGGAACTTAGGAATACGGGATATTGAATAAAATCGCCGTACCAGGCAATTTATCATCGCAGTATCGGTCACCTCCATCTTAAGAGCCAATTCCATCACCTTTTTAAGGTATGTAAATTTTTGAGTACGTAAGTACATTATACTTCAATTAATTTTAATACAGTATTGTTTTTAAGATTATAAGCTTTATCTAAAATATTAGGGTGATACCGAACCATTTGTTTTATTCAATGCATAGAATTCGCCCAAATATAAGACTGTATATTTATATATATATATATATATATATATATATATATATATATATAATGTTAAATATATGTCTGTATAATATGTGTTCATTAATTTGAAATGTTTATTGAATTTTAACTAAACCAATTTAAAAACGGTAATGTTAGGCGGTAACGTGGACTCTCGTATCACGTGAGCCCTTCGACCATGATCGGTTTTCTTATATTTAAAAAATTAACAGGGTTGCATTAATAAGTAAATGGAAAAAGGACTCGCCAAAAGCAGATCAAACCGTAATGATCCTTTAATTAGAGTTTGAAAAAATATATTCTTAAAAGCATGTATATTTTTATTTGTAAGGGATCAATAGAAGTTATAATACGTACTTTCCCTTTAAAAGTATAGACAGTCTTTCATCAGCGGGTGTGACTTCTTCAAGTGCGTACGCCTCGCCCGGCTCCAAGCGAACTATTCGCGCCTCCCGTGTTAGTTCTTGGAAGTGCTTCTTGTTCACTTTTAGTGGTTTGAAAAGTTTCAGGTACAGGTCTGTTAATTCTAAAGATAGCGCTGGTGGAAGAAATCTGAAGAAATAAAAAAACAACGTTACGGAACCTCTCATATTACGATTTTATTAAATAAAATAAGGCTGACTAATGCCCACACAATCCACCTGATGGTAAGTGGGTGCTGTGGTTCATATACATCTACGTCTACCTTTGATTAAGATTCAAAATGCAGATGCATTGTTACCCCTGATTATGATATATTAAGATGGAATGCCTCAAAATGATGAAATGAGACAATAGAGGTAATTTCTAGCAATCATAGTAATTTAAATGATCCGATTAGCAGCCCACAAAAAGTTAATTGTTTAAATTCACATAAGGAAAATCGTAAAAATTGTATACACCTTATGCATCAAAATATACAAGACGTGTGGGGTGAAGAATTTGAAATTTAATAATTTTTTTTATATAGCATTGGGTGACAAACGAGCACATAGTTCACCTGATGGTAAGTGGATGCTGTAGACATCTACATTTATCCTCAATAAAGAATCAAAATGCAAATGCGTTATCACCCCTGAGGACTAACATGGTATGCCTCGATTCCAGTAAAAAGGGTCTCTAGTTATATACCCTCACCATACGAAACAAAGCAGATTTACTCTATTTTACGCAGGTATTCTGAAAACGTTGTCCTGTACTGGTCGTGTCGACCGATTCGTACTACAACTATAATATAACTGCAGCGTGGCTCTACCACGTAATAATTGTTATAATTGTTTTTAAACATTAACAACATATATATTTTTGTATAACTTAACATTGTTTAAAGGATCACAACTACAATTTGCTTAATTTCAGTAGACACCAGATGGTCAGTTGCCTAAACTGAGAAATAAATTACGCGGTGGCTCCTTAAACAAACTATTAATAGGTAAATAACTTAAGGATATTATTTGCCTCTCTGTTGAACGAATTGTAGAAATGGCATGTTTTGAGCTTATTGCTGTTAGTGTTTGCAGACTACACATTCTATGTATGATTGTTTTGAAAAAATTATGGCGGAAATTTTGCTTAAGATTAATAAATAGAAAAAATCTGTTGTCATATGTGGAGACTTTAATATCAATTTCCTTGAAACTTCTTCCATGAGTATTAAGTTTAGATCATTGCTCAAATTATACAACCTTGCTAATTTGTTATTAGAGTCCACTTGTACAGATATATTTACTGATGTTGAGCCTTTGCATAAATTATTTATTTAAAATTTAATTTCTGATCACTGTGGACAGTTGGTCTCACTGCCTCACATGCACAAAGAACAGAATGTTATGGAATTTGTTTTGTTTTGGAGAGAGATCAGGCGCAGGACCAACGGCTTTGTGCTTTCCGAGGCACGGGGGTGAGACACCGCCAACTTCCTGACTCCGGGCAGCCACTGAGAATTTCTTGACAGAAAAACTCAATAATAGATATTTTTTCCGACAACCACTAGACCAACGAGGCAGTATATAAACATAAACACTGTATAAAAACAATACTAACTATTTATATGGATCAATATTTAAACGTTTAAGTCTTGAATTTAAGAAAATATTTACATCTAAAACACTCGTTAAAACCAACACAAATCGTTATATATATAATCGTACAAATCGTTTAATGACTGGCCGACAGTAGGAATCCATAAGAGTAGACAAAATTTATATGACCTTTACAGTGAAAGATCATAAAATCGTAGTGCTACATTTGAGTATATAATACATATTAAAATTAAAAGAATGTGTTTCACAGCCAAGTCTTTATATTCAAGAAAATAATTAAGAGTTCTTCTAATAAAATTAAAATGACTTGAAGTATAATCAGTGGTAAAACTGGCAAGATGAAACTACACAACTCAAACATTTTATTAAATTTTAACAATAATTTAACGAAATCAGATCAAGATGTTGCAACGCCTTTTGAATAATATTTTACCGACAGTCCAATCTTGATTACAAAGTCACTAAATTCCTCCCCTACTGTCGCCGACTCATTACTCAAACAAAATGTAAATGTCTGTAAAAAATAACTTCCATTTCATAAAATATTATTTGCAGATATTGTAAAATGTTTCAAAACTATTGATACTACAAAAACAACAGATATATATGGCGGATTTCTATTAAATTTATTTTGTCTATGATAAACGCAGTCGCATCCTAACTGGCTTATTTTTTACACTAGTACGGAATCAGTTGTGTTTCCTGATTTAATGTCAAATGAAGTTAATGTGGTGGTGATATCATCATTTCTTTTCAAAAAATATCCGCTAATGTACGAACGTATACACATGCTTTTAGAAACAGTAAAATTTAAAGTCTACAAACCTCAAAACATGAAGATGGGAGGTCAATAAAGCAAAAGTATATTTTACTTGTTGTTGTTTTTTTAAACTGGAAATGAGCACTCAATTTGTCCGATGGTGAATGAACGCTTTGGCGCATTGAAACCGATGACTCGATTAAAAATTAAAATACAGATGCGTTGTCACTACTAAAAATGAAATGTCTCCTAACTACTAAAATAACCATAATTTCTCCTAATAAAGTTACATTAGTCTACTATTTGAAAAAGAAACATGGTAGATCATATACATGAAAAAGAAACACGGTCACCTTTGTAAGGGATCTATTATCCTTTTTCGTCCCGTGGAAATCGTAAATATCTACTGAGAAAAATGCAAAGAGCAACACATGACATTTGAGGATATAACCCTGAATGATTCTTCTATACGCTACCCCACCGCCGAACGTATAAGAAACCCATAGTTGTATGTCGGGCCTACCCACAACAGCGACCTGTCACTGCAGCATCAAACGAATGAAACATTGCGTAGTCGAGTCTTTTTGGTAAATGTCAGACTCCCGTCTCAACAATATTTACAGTCCGATATTAAAGAAAAGGATAAACAAATTTATTAAGAAAGCATGCCGTAAAGGTGTGCATAATTAATACTAACTTAGGAAGCTGACAGACATTTACATTTGTTTTATAAATTAAAAGTGGTGAAAGCACATCACCTTATAATTAAGAAGACAGTGTGAATAGAGTTGACGAGCAAGAGTGCAAGACTCCAGATGAGCACGTCGGGAGCACAAAACTCGGCGCCAGCCCACATGCCCATCAGCACCGCGCCCGCTGCTGCTAATGCTCGCAGCACAAGTATGCTTTGCTTGAAGCTTTTTGGCGCAAGAAACGCCAAAGCGAAACATAGGTTCGCCGCCTGTACCATAAATTTAAAATCCAATGAAATAAAATTTTATTTTTATGAAAGGTATTAAAGATTTTTTGGGTTTTTTAAATGTATAATATAATTGTTGAATTTTTGTAGCAAGTACAATAAACATGCAATATTATTGACGTTAAAAGTTACGCATATGAATGTTTAAATCAGGCAAGACAATATTTCATATTTTTCTCAGGGATTTGATAAAAGAAAATCACCTGAAATAGGTCCTGCTGTGCACTCGACCACTTAGCGCAGAACCAGTGATTGTCATGTTCGTCGCTGGAGCTGGCGTTTAGTAGGTCGTAATCGGTGTCGAAGGTGGTGTTGGGGCGCGTCGCGTTGTAAGCCAGCGTGGCGTTGAGCCAGGGCGCGGCGGACGCCGGCGCGGGCGCGGCGGCCATGCTGCGCTTGCGCCCCGCTCGCGCGCCGCCGCCGACACCCGCGCGCGCCGCGCGCGTCTCGCGCACCCTCTCGCGCCTCTCACTCGCCGACACGAGACGATTCAGCTGGACTCTTGCTTTCAGTATTACCAACTCCATCCCCACACACTGCGACCACGTGGCGCACCAGTTGCGTGTACTTCCTACCTAGAACAAATGATGCTCTAAAAATACTCGACGTAAAGGCATTTTACACGAGTTTTTTACAAGGTCAGAGAGTCCTCCCGATAGTAAGTGAATCATATGGCTTATAGAATCATAGACACCTACATCTATCTTCGATCTACGGGATGTCTGACTAAATGCCGACAGACATTAAGCCAGCTCATTGTCGCCTTAGTTATTTCAATTAAAGGTGTAACAGTATGTAAACATTAAATCAATTAATTATTAATGAAGAAATAAAAACCACTTTTTTTTGCTCAAAATCATATTAAGGCGATGGCAATATCCAAAAACACCTTTATTTCAATGCGTTCTCTCTATATTGGAGCTTTTCTCTGCTAAAAAGAAATTCTTAGAATATAATTGTGGAGACTAGAAGTGAACGAAACTAGTTAGCCAGATGGTATACCAGATATACCATTAAAATCTTGTAGACACCCTGTTCACCTCAGTTTTCTCACATGTTTCACGCGTTTGTTCTGCTTCTCATTTTAGGACGTAATAAAAAAACTGGATACTGATTAACCTGGAGACCGTATTTAAAAAACAGCCGTGATATCTCGAAGAGCTTTCAGATCACCTGCACTTCGTGCACGTGATCTTGTACGTGCGGCTTAGTCCAGTTTAATTGATAGGGTGTAAGGACTTTTTAAATAAATGACCTATCCTTATAGTTCTCGAATGATGCCTGCCTAAAATTAAGATGACGAACTCTCTGCTATTCCATTCTTATTCCGTAATCATGGCTTACTTATGCCCAGTATATGGGTACGCAGACCACAGAACAGCTGCGAAGAAATATCAGGCTAGTAGACAGCAAATCCATGCTTATGGAAAACTTTGACTAAGCGCGCGAGTCTTTCAATGCAGGCAGGCGCTGAATGGAGTAATGCCAATCTTATGAAATTCAACTCCTTGAAGAACCATAAGACTTATTCACTGCAAGACGAAGCTCGCCCACCTTGACTCTTTTGATCCAGGATGTATTATCAAAGTATATATAGTATTCCTCTATTTATACTCTTCTTTATAATATGTTACAATACATTCCTCCCTCACCCTTTCATCACCAAGTGGAACATTTATTTAATTTTAATTTATTTATTTATTTATTTATTACACAATTATAACATCATTACAGTTATTAAACAAATCTCTCCATCTCAACTTATAATAAGGTTTGATACTAGCTAAGCATTGTAATATTCTTACTTCCTAGTAATATTATAAATGTGAAAGTTTGTTTGGATGTTTCATGTTCATGGCTCAATCACGCAAAACCAAATGAACGGATTTGATGAAACTTGACAATAGTATCAAGTATTGTTATTTATTCTGTGGCAGAAGTATCGGTAGATAAATTACCAGAATAGGACATAGGCTATTTAAAATATTAAGTTACCTTTAATTATAGTTTTTTATTTATAGTCGTATTAGTTAAGTAATGGTTGCTAATAAAAAATACTAAAGAATTGAACTTCCTACTCTTTTAAAAGTCTGCGATACACTATAGAATAGAATAGCATAGATTTTTTACTCAATATAGTTTAGATGTAATTCTTATAGAGTCTTTTATGATTCTGTACCCGAAGGGTAATCAACGGGACCCTTTTACTTAGCCTCCGCTGTCCTTCCGTCTGTCTGTCAGCGAGTTGTATCTCATATAATAGGTAGTTGGTTGAAAATTTCATAGAATGTGTATTTCAGTTGCCGCTATAACAACAAATAATAAAAATAATATTAAAAGAGGCCCCCTTAGTAGAAACGTATTTTTTGGCTTTTTTTGCTCTATATTTTTTGCGCTAATAATAAAAATAAATATATTTAAAAATTAAAGGGGGTTAGTTAGTATTTAGGCGCTACTCCTAGCGAATGACCTTCAGCGTTCGGTCCTAATTATTATTTATTCTGTGCCTATACATTACACGCGCTCTCGCTACAATATATCGCGTAAGAAATACGTCCAAATTTTAAAATATTTCCTATATAAATCGAAGTTTGGTCCTTTAAAAAAATTAAATAGATCAAAATGTTTATTAATAAATTGCCTATCCATTAGTGTCAATCGCAAAATAAAATAATGCTTACTTTATGAGGGGATGCATGTTATCAATAATTATTTCGCATTTCTTTGGTTTAGTTGTCGGAAGATAAATCAAGTATTTACTCCTTTTAAAAAAATTGGAATTGGATATTATGGAATCAAGATCATGTAGAAGTTTAATAGATGTTTATTAGTCGATATATCTTTTTAATAACAAGTAGACAGCTCCTAAAAACGTCACAAATAACAACTAGCGCGATATTTTGCTCAAACACGCACCTTAATGGGAAATATAACCTCAAATGTTTTCTCGATAGAAAAAAAATCCAAAGTTACCTCCAAACTGAACAAAAAACCGCTGTTATTCATAAAATACTTTAAATAAGATCATGAAACTTTGCATACTAACTGAACTAACTATAAAGCAGGGCTTATGTTTTTTTATTTTTTTTTGAAAGTACCATTATTTTCACTGTAAAAAGAAATTACCTAAACTATCGGCATCCTGAAGCTTGTTTCTTGCCGCCCGGTTCCAAGCATCTTAAATCTTGTACGATAGTACGGAACCTTTCATGCGCGAATTGACTCGCACTTGGCCGGTTCTATTTACTTTTACCACAGGTCCGGAAAAAAATCTCCCAAGACAGGAAGAATAATTCTCTGTCAGCCAGTAACTCAGTGGGACCTTTTTTTTTTTAAAGTAAATTATAGGAACCGCCTCATTCCCAGGCATTATTATTAAACAACTATTTGTCGGAAAGTACAACGCGATAAGCCAATTGTGTGGAAAATAACAGGATAGCGTTAATTATTAAAAATGGTAAAAATGTGAGAGCTGATGTTCAACTTGCTCTCTTGCTTGCTCAGTTTACCATTATCAATAATAAGACAGCGTGACGCACTATACATTCAGTATAGAGTAATTACAGTTTGACCATACCGTAGTATCCCCCATCACAATTACACACCAGTGCAATGTGAAGGACATAATTACATGATAACACCAAATTATGCAAACCAACGTTACCCATCTAAACGTAACACAGCACAGCCTCTCAGCAACACCATTATCCTTGCCTGCACCAGAAGAGTCACCACAATGGACAGAACAACGACTATCTTAGCACGCGTAGAATGACTTCACTCGTGAAACGACTCAAGCGGAATCTCCCGCGCTCTGCCCCTACACTGAAACTAAACTAACCTATCTTTATACTGCGCAAACGAGTGGGAGGGTTTCTCGATATAGCCTCAATTTCAACTAGTCACTAGATCCAACCGGCATTTTATAGATGCGCCTACATATTTATTTATATTATAATGCCCAGTTACATATGTACAGTTTTTTTTGTTTAATTAAATATTTTAACTTGGTAGTAAAGAGACCTTGTCTATTTTCTGGGACTTTTATTGTAATTGCATATACATTGCCCCATGAATTAATACCTGACTTGAGGATTCAAGAGCCGTGGTAGCTCAGATGATTAATGCTCGCTGTAAACTTCACAGTACGCGAGCAAATCGGATTCGATCCCCGCCGGCACAAATGAAATTGTTAATTGCAATTTTAAATGCTGATTTACCACATGTTCAGCGGTGAAGGAAAACATCGTGAGGGAACCTGCATATCTGAGAAATAAGACAAAAAATTTCTAGAACGTGTGAAGTTCGCCAACACACATTGGAGCAGCGCGGCGGACACTTCCTTGCTCCAAAACCCTCTCAGATATGAGGGGAAGCCTGCGCCCAGCGGTAGGACGTATATAGGCTAAATAAAAAAAATTAAATAATTGGCTGTAACATTATATATATATTTATTTTATTTTATTTATTTATATTTCCTACTAACATCTACCATTACAGGGAAAGCCTAAATCGATAAATGTAGCATCTCAATTCAAAAAGTAACAATTCAAATGGTAAAAGATTACTAATTAAAACACAATAATTAATTTAAATAACAATACATAATAATTAATTTCAATGACAATACATTACAATCAATTGTATACTACAATTTAAGAATAACATATTGTAAATAATGTCACTTTTGCGAATTCACTCCGTGAACACGAAAATAAGTCCAACTTCTCAGCTACCAAATTTAGTATGTGTATCGTTCGCGTGAGGGGGGTATTGCGAACCAGTTTAGTCCTGCCGCGTGGCATCGCGAGCAAGCTCGGCCGTCGTCGCCGCTGTACATACCTATCAGGCACGCATAAGCCTATCCACTGCAGCACACCCGGGTTGCTGATGTAACCACGGAACACCCTTAAAATGTAGATTACCAGCGCTAGATCTCTTCTAGTTTCCAACTTGTTGTATCCAACCATACCTAAAAAAACAAGGTTGGATACATCAAGGGGTAGGATGGATAAACCCCATAAAGCTTATGATATATAAATCGCATGAATTTATTCTGAATGCGCTCCAGCATAAGATTGTATTTATTTTTATGTGGAGCCCATATTGCTGAGTTACACTCCAGCTGACTCCTTACTAGAGCATCATACAGCACTGAGATTGCTTTAATGTTGGTAAATTTTACTGCTCTGCGAATGATAAACCCTAGTCGTTTATAAGCTTTCTTACATATATTCATGATGTGCTCCCGGAATGTCAATTTGACATCCATCTGGACTCCAAGATCCCGGACTGATTCCTCCCTCTTCATTAGCTCGCCATTCACCTTATAGTTGTAATGGAGTGGTGCCCTTGCACGACTAAATGATAGAATAGAGCATTTTGAAATATTAAACTGCAGTTTATTTTTATGGCTCCATTCAACTACTTGGTCGATATCTTGCTGAAGGTGCCGACAATCATCCTCAGTCTTGATGGCTAAAATTAACTTTAGGTCGTCTGCAAATAACAGACATTTAGCCTCTCT